TCCCCTCTCCCCAACGGCCCAAGGCGACGGCCCAACTGCTCTCCGCCTCCCCCTTCGTATATAAGTGGCACCGGCTCCCTCTCCCCTCCCTCACCAAACCCTAAATCATTCAGTCATCTCATTCCCTACCCACGCACCCACCCACGCCGCTCCGCCCTCTCGAGTCGCTCTCGCTCTTGCCTCGTCGTCTCTGGTGACCTCCCCGACTCCGGTGACCTCGATTCGATCCGCCTGCCGCTGTCGAGCCGCTCCCTTCTCCTCCTCCCTGATACCATCCCTCTCTCCCATCTCCCTCTCCCTCTCCCTCTCTCCCCTCGATCCCTCTAGATCTTGGTGATTATGTGAGTTCTTGTTACTATCCTTCCTCCGCCACCGCTCATCGTCCTTGTTAACGGTGTGTCGTCTTCTCTTGGGGGTCGTCATCTTCTCCGGCAGCGGGCTCCGGTTGCGCAACCCGAACCCTAACCCTCTTCTTCTATCTTGATCTGTCTGACTGTTTCTAATTCTGTCTGTTCCTCTTCCTCCTTCATCTCTTTTTGCAAGTCGGTAGCCGATGCTTCGTCCTCTAGCTGTGGCATAGAGCGAGCAAGGCGGCCACTCGCACCGTTGAGGAATGGGGCTGGAGAGGCCATGGCTGAAGATGATGGTGTCCTTCCGCTAGGCCTGGCCGCCGAGGGCGAGAACGACAACGACACCCGTGATGACGCTGCTGCGTTGCTCGGTATAGATCTCGGAGACGGCTATGCTCCGATCGATCTGGACGGCGGCGGTGGTGAAGGGGCGACGGCGACTGGGACCACGGTCAGCTCCACCAGCTCTACTCCATATGTTGCTGGTACTGGTACCTCTGTTGGTAAGCATAAATCTGCTGTATGGGCTGATTTTGATGAGATCCATGAGACTATGAATGGAGTTAAGATTTGCACTAAAGCTACCTGTAAAATATGTAAGAATACTTTGTCTGCTAGATTTAGTGCTGGCACTGGTCACTTGAAGAGGCACCAGAAATCTTGTAAGCAAAAAACTGATCAACGTGCTAGGGTTTAGTCTTGGCTTGCTTACAATCCTGATGGTTCTGTGCATAACTAGGACTATAAATCTGATGTTGCTAGATCTGAATTGTGTCGTTTGATTTCTAGGCTTGATCTGCCGTTAGGTATCGATGAGACAGAGGCCTGGGAGGAGTACATTGTTCGTGCTCATAACCCTAGGTTTGTTAAGGTATCTAGACAGACCACCACCAGAGATCTTAGTAAGCTGTTTACTGAACGTCGTAATATGCTTAAGAATCATGTGTTGTCTGTTGTTTCCTCTGTTGAACTGACTTCAGACATTTGGTCTGGTAATGCTAAGGAAGACTTCATTACTGTTGTTGCTCATTATGTCAGTGCTGGTTGGGAGTTACAGAAAAAGGTTACTGGTTTTAGATTGATTGAGGTAAAACATACTGGTGAAAATATTGCTAAAAAATTGCTTGTGTGATTGGGGAGTATGGTCTGATTGATAAGGTTTTCTCTATACCTTTAGACAATGCTTCTTCTAATGCTAGGGCTATGAGTACTTTGACACCTCTGTTTGTTGGTTATTTGGGTGCTGATCCTTCACTTGAGCCTGCAGATCCTTCTAAGGTTAACTATAGTATTCTGCATCAATGTTGTGTTTATCATATCATTAATCTGATTATAAAATCTAGTTTAAAACGGTTCAAACCTTACTTAGAAGATTTAAGATCTGCTATTAACTTCTTGAATTCCTCTAATCAAAGAATTGCTATGTTCAAGAACCACTTTACTGCTTAAGGTGTTAGACCTAGAAAGTTTGGCTTAGATATGATGTTAGATGGAATGCTACATACCTTATGCTTAAACACTTGGTTCCATATAAGGATGTTTTTTCTGTGTTCATTAATGCCAATTATGGGTCACAATTGTTGTCTGCAAGGCATTGGTATGTAGCTGAGAAGATATTAGAGTTCTTAGAAATATTTTATGAAAGCACTGTTGTTCTCTCTCGTGTTTATTATGCAACTAGTCCACTTATTCTGCACCATCTTCTTGATATTGCTTCACATTTACATGCAAGTGAAAAAGATCAAAATCTAATGTCTATTGTATATCCTATGAAGCTTCAATTGCTTAAATACTGGCATGACATACCTCTGTTATATTCATTTGCATTCATTCTTGATCCTAGAGTTAAGATGAGAGGTCTATTTAATGTTCTGCAATTACTTAAAGAGTACACTGGTTGTGAATACAGTTCATATTATGCTGATGTGAGAACTGAAATTTACAAGTTGTTTAATAAATATGAGAGAAAGTTTGGTGCAGCTAGGTCTCAAAGGGCTACACAGCCTGCAAGCCATACAGGTAAAAGAAAACAGGCATGGGGAAGGATTTTTGGAGGCCCTAGATCTGGTGTTGTTGGTCCTTCCCCTATCTCTGCCCCCACTTCATCTACATCTAGTTCTGTTATCTGTGAGCTCACAGTTTATGTTGACAGTGACAATGTTACTACATATAAGGATGATTTTGATTTACTTCTCTGGTGGCGTGACCATAAACTAACCTATCCAATCATATCTATCATGGCTAGAGATATTATGCCAGTTCCTGTTTCTACTGTCTCTTCATAATCATGTTTCAGCTTAGCAGGAAGGATCATTGAGGAGCGGCAACGACGTTTGTTGCCTGAAACTATGGAGATGCTGACTTCCATAAATGATTGGGAGTTAGGAGAAACAAGGTTACAGCATGTTGTTGACAACCAAGAGTTGGAGGATTGCTTCAAGAATTTATATCTCGATGAAGATAAAGCTGGTACATCTAGGGGTGATGCTGGTGCATCTGGGGGTGCTGCTGCTGGTACATCTAGGGGTGCTACTGCTGGTATATCTAGGGGTGCTGCTGGTTGAGACTAGGGGTGCTGCTAGTACATCTGGAGGTGCTGCTGCTGGTACATCTTGAGAGTTGAGACTTGAGAGTTGAGAGTGTGATCTGTAAGTATTTGTTTTCTGTGAGAATTGAGACCTTTAAACATGTTTAAGACTTAATTAAGAGTTGTACTGCACTTTTTTTTTCTTTTTAGGGTTTCTCACAAGGGTGAGTTTTAACTAGAAATGTTTTTAATGAGGCAGCATTGCACAAACAGCTCAGTTATCTTAAGTCTCTCTTGTGTCTTTTATTTCGTTGGATTTGGTCATTAAGAGTTGAGTTCAGTTTTGATTTGTGAATGTAAAATTTGGTAAGTGATCTGATTGAGTGATTGTGAATGTGAACTTAGAAGTTGTAATCTGTGAACTTAGAACTTATAATCTGTGCTTGTGATCTGATTGAGAATGTCATATTTGCTAAGTGTTGTATGAGATGAATTTTTTGAGGTGATTTAAGGGGACCGGGCTGTGGGCTGGTACGGGCCGCAGAATTAGCCATGCTCAACGGGCCGGCATGGCCCGACTACTGGCCCATAGGGCCGTGCCTGGGCCGTAGAGCAGGCACGGTGCACGATTCGGCACGCAACGAGCAGCCCGCGTGCCGTGCCGGCCCGAACCCCAGCGGGCCGGGTCTGGCCCAGGCCCGGGCCATGCCGATGGCCATATATACCCCTTCCCCGTCGATCCCCTACCCTTCGTCGTCCCGGCCGAGAGGGAGGCGCGGCCCCAATTCCCACCGCCTCCGGCCGCCGTCGCCGCGGCCGGGAAGACCTTGTCGCTCGCGCCTCCGCCGAGCACAAACGCCGCGCGGTCAATCCCTCTATGTTCTCCCGCGGCCGAATTCTCCACGCTCCTCTCCGCACTCCGCTGCTTCGTGCCGGCGCCCGCAGCGCCGTCCTCTCCTCTCCCCGGGGTCTAGTGTGGGCAGAGATCCGTCCTGGTTTGGTCTTGGTCCGATTCCTTCCCGTGCAGGTAAGCAATTTCTCCGAGTAATTCTTAGCTCGCTGGGATGGATTCCTTTGTTCTTATTTCGAACAATCAGACCCAGTTCCTTGTGTTCTTATTTCGAACAATCAAACCCAGTTTTCGGCCATTTCCATGGCTCAAGTCAGATTCACCTTTAATTTAATAATACTCTCGGGTTTTGTTCCTAGTGATTCACCATCCCCGATTGCCAGTTGTGATTCCGTTAAATTTGTAGCCGCGATTTTTTTTTTCTTATGCCGTAGTCTGCAGCTGTTCTCAGTAGGGGTTCATTTTCTTCTCCTCTGTCTCGGGGGAGGGGGCCCCGGGGGCCTCATAACCTTGATTTTAGTCGGGTATTCGGGTTGATCTGTGTTTCGTTTGTGTTATTTTAACAATCTTCTGGTCTATTTCTGTAGTTTTGGCAAAGTGATTTCAAAATTTCTCTAGCGAACTGTATGCACTTTGTTCTGTCTACTGCTGAATATATTTGCAGGGATGCAAAAGCTTTTGGATTCGTACTCACAGTACATTTCTGTGTGGGATCAGGGGTTAGATGGAATTTTCATATCGTATAAAATTATACTGTCCAAAGTGACGAACATCTTCATATTGTGTTGGTGAGATTGAAGAAGCAATATGAAATAACTGTAGCCACCATTCCTTAAGCTTAACCTGATCCCCATAGCGCCAACACCCCTCACCCACCAACCCACACACCCAAATAAAAAAATCAATGATGCTGGTACTTTCAATCCATAGTTTCAGTGGGATTCAACGTTGGAAGGTACAATGTTGAGAAATATATTTATTGTGATTCTACTGCCTATTTCACTATTGTTGATCTCCACAGTCCACTACTAGTAAAATGTAACGTTCTTACAGGTACAATTTGTGGCAGTGTACATTTCAGTGATATTGATCCTGTGAACTTTAGCTCCACTGCATGTACATCTTTTGTTTGTTTATTAATTCACGCTTGCAATGGCTGCAGTATGGCGATTGGCCAGATAATTAATTTTATCACTGTTTGTATTTCTGTTCCTTTTCAGGATTTTTGTTAATGATGGGAGAGAATAAATGGATGGGAAAAAGATGGGAGGACATGGACACTGATGTCCTTGTGAAGATATTCAAGGAACTAAATTTGGTTGAGCTGTCACCGGTATCTCAAGTTTGTCGTTTGTGGCGTTCGGCCTGTTCAGATCCACTTATTTGGGGCACTCTTGACTTTGGATTGTTAAAATCCAATTTTATTCAGACAAGAGCATCACCATATATTTGGGTTGATGATAGGTCTGACAAGAGACTTGCAAGAATACTACGGGTGGCTATGGCAATTAGCTGTGGGAATGTCAATTGCATGATATTCCATTACAATTTGTTCATGAAGGATGAGCACCTTCATTTCATCTCAGAAAGGTAACAACACCTTGTATGTTTTATCAATGTTGTGGTTCCACATTCCTATGTTTATGTGTCATATATTTGATGTGTGATATGTTGCGTAATCCTACGAGTCGATTTTTCAACACAATAGTTGAACCATCTTACGGTTTTCTATAGAAATGTCCAAATGGGTGCTTGTATCTAGTGGTGATATATGAGCTCTGCAGTTGAATCTTGCATAAACATTCATGCATTATCACAAGTAAATATTCTATGTAAATTGCAACTATTCTTTCATGCACTTTTGTGTTATTAAATTTGGATAGCTGCTATTTCATAGATTCAAACAGGTGGGGGTCTAGGGAAGGCTGTTTCCTTAAGTTAAATCTGCTCTTATTTCTTTGGTACATTATTCTTCTGATTATATCTTCTTGTTCTGTGGTCTTGTTTCATTGAAGAGGCTAACACTATATAGTCTTGCCTGATGTCTAGCAGGTCTCCTCACTTAAAACGGTTGGTTATGCCAGCATGGAACCGCATCACCAAAGTGGCAATATGTCAAGCTATCCAGAGGTGGCAGGAGCTGGAGTCCTTGACAATGCCTACCATTGGACATCCTCCATATATTATGGAAGAGATTGCAAGGAGCTGCAAGAATTTCACAGAACTTAAGATCATGGGCTCATTTGATCAGCAATTTGCCTCGGCGATTCTGCAGTTCCTTCCAAAGTTGAAAGTGCTGAGCCTTCGTTGCTCTAAAGTGTCCATGGATGCACTGCAATGCTTGGTGAACTCGATGGAATATCTTGAGGTCCTGAATATTTCCCACTGCCTGCTGTTGGTTGTCGCGGCGAATGGGCGGAAGCAAGTGGTTCATGAACTGGACAGCCAGATTCTCGAGAGAGCTTCACAGCTGCGTGAATTCCACTACTGCCAGAGTAGGTTGTGCGTCACATGCCAGCGGATGGTGGTGGATGAAGGCATCATGCGCTGGTACAGGTACGAGGATTGGTTTTGGCGTCGGGATGAGGTGAGGTCCCTTGATCTGCTGCAAGATTATGGGAAGCTGTTTGATGCTGGTTGCGAGAGGTTGACGTCTGTGGAGTAGATGCTGATAATAATAGGGGAACAAAATCCGCCTCAGTGTAGAAACTTGCTGACAGGCATTCCTAAAACAGAGCAAGCGACGAGTTGTGACAATAGATAAATAATAATATCGACAACAACGTGCGTGAATATATGGGGTGCGCGTGTGTTTAGTTTAGCTAGTGCGGTAAATCCATAAATAGTTCGTCGTGTTTGGAGGAGCTTTGTGATAGCAGCCAGTATGGTGACAAGAGTGCACAACTCTGCACAATTTGTTTTTAAGTGATGTTGCATTGGACATCAAGTATAGTATTTGGCTTTATACACTGTAGCGTAAAAGACTAAAGGCCCGTTGGCTTGTCTTAAATTTGGCTTATTAGAACATTTTTTTTAAATAGAAACAATGTTGTTTTTTCTCTCACAACAATTCAAATTTTAATGAAATATGTTTTTCAAATGATTTGAAATTAAAAGTTTAGACCAAATGAATCGGGCCTAACCCTGCTAGTGCTAGTTAGTCGTGACGAGTCCCGTGCTGTTTTTTTTATACGAAAAAATTGTTATTGACCTTCTCTGTCTCTGCTCAAAAGTCTGCCCTACCCTTTTGGGCGCCTTGAGTTTTCGTGAAAATGCATTCTGGATGGTTTCAGCTGGTTTTCAAATTATTCAACTTGAAGTGACATGAACTCATGATCCTAGCTTGTTCTGGTGTCGCCTTGTATTAATGATGCAGTGACGTCACTGAAATTATTGGGTGATTGAGCCGTGTGCTCTCTGGTAATAATACTATAAAATAAGGTAGCATATGGCTAAAAAAGAAACAGATAAATGAGATAGCATCACACGCCCATTTAAGCGGCCAATCGCCATTAGCAACGCCATAAGTGAATTTTTTTATTGAGACGACATGATAAGTGAAATCGTGTCGTGGCAAAGTCACTATCTCATCATTAGTACCCCAAGACCCAAGTGCACTTGCACGTCACCAATGGCACAATTAGCTTATATGTTGTAGAACAATATTTATTTTGAAATAAACGTGCTGACAATTATTCCTTTTTAATTTAACGTTCCCTTTGGTACTTGGCGGCAGGTGATGCGTATAGTACACGTATACGGGTATAAAATGGGTGGGGCACACCGCGGGGCACATTGTTATGTTCGGAAACAATAATAATTTCACCTGCGCCAAGAAAATTCTCAGCTTACCACATGACAATGACATCGGCCCTGTTCGTTTCCTGAAAAAACAAACCACAGCACTGTTCTAGCTGATTTGTTATGAAAAAAAAATACTGTTTCAACTAAAAAAACAAAAATACGGATTCCAAGCCAAAAAAAAAATAATGGACAGCCGATCAGTTGCTGTCAGCCATAGTGATCTGGTACAGTGGTACCACGATTCACGAATAGTGCTTGTCTGCTTGATGCCGTTTTCTTTTGGAGGGAATGCAGCCTGCAGAATCTTCTATTGGGAGAGCTGTTGGGTTGCCGTGGTCTGAGGCTCTGAGCTGAAGAATGAGGCTACGCCTAACCGGAGACGAGGACAAAAAACGCTCTCAAGCGACAGCAACCGCTCTTGGGCTCCTGTTAGCCTCTCGATCGTCGAGGGCCGTTTGTCTCAGCACAACCGTCAATCAAACGCGCTGCGGTGCGGCGACCGGCGAGCCACCACGACACTCGCCGCCGGTGCAGAAACCGTAAAACCGACGAGCAGAAAAGATGCCTGGGCAAGGCAAGGTAGGATGACCTACCTACTCCTACCAGGGATCCACACCACAGCGCAGAGCTTGTCTTGAATTTGCACCCGTGAAACGACAGTCACTCGTGGCTCGTGGCCCCCTGGCCCTGTAGGGGGTGTTTGGTTAGGTGGCTAACTCAGCCATGTTCAGGTTGTTTAGTTGCTTGTTTAGAGGTCGAAGTCAGCCTTCAGGGTGGCTGAAGCCACCCAACGCCATTTAGCTAGGCTCTAGAAAAACGCAGAGATCGGTCGTTTTTGAGAGCCAGGCTCCACTGAGCTCGTGTGCGCGATTGTCTCACCGCGCTGCTCCTCACCTCTCACCTCTGCTCCTTCGTGCTCCCCGTTGGCTTGGAGATGCGCCTGGTTCCCACGCCGGAGATGCGCCTGCACTGGAAGTTCCGCGGCACCGACACCTCGCCACCCAACGCCGCCGCCGCGATGCTCGCCGACCGCCGCGCCGTGCGGCTCCAGGGTCATCTGCCCGTTGCCGTTCTGCGAGAGCCACTGCTGGTACAGGCTGTCCCACCCGCCCTTGCTGACGGCGCGGCGCACTGCTGTTGCCGAAGTAGATGAACACCATGGCGCGCAGCCAGCTCATCTCGTTGCAGTCGGCCGCCGTCGTGCCGAGCTCCGGGAAGAGGCCGCGCATCGTGTTCAGGAGGTCAGAGCACCCGCCGAGGAAGAGTGTCTGGAAGAAGGCGTGCCTGTGCTGCAGGACGACCCGGATGGTGAGGTCCGGGAGGACCGGCGTCGCTCGCGCTGCCGTGCTCGCCTTCCACTTCCAGAGGCCTACGCTCCGACTCCGAGCGTGTCATCACTCGCACGGCACGGTGCACCCTGCCGCTGGTGCCGGCCGCAATTTGGAATTCTGGATGGATGACGCACCTCCGTTCAACAGCCTGCAATTTTAACGGCATCTGCAATTTTCCCCAAACTGTGCTGCTAATTGGATAACACTGGGCAGCAGGCCAGGCTTGCTCTGAAGTCCACGATGACCAGATGTTGCCATGGCTCGCTGGAGGATGGTCGTCTCCCACTTGGCGATGAGGTCGGCGGCGCCCTACTCCATGGTCCTCTGGATGTTGACCACCGTCACCGTCGGTGGGACCTTCGAGACCTTCAGGCACCAGAGATGACGCCGCCCTCCTCCTCCTCCGCTGTCTGGGGCGTGGGCGGCGGGGTCCGAAAAGACCAGGCTCCGAGCTATGGCGTCGAGTAGCAAAGCCCACCACCGGCGAGGGTGCCCACCAGATATCTGTGAAAATGTCTCAAAAGGGGGTTAAAGTAACCGGCCCAGAGAAGAGTTGATTCTAGGTAAAGTAAAGGAAAAAGTCTATTTTTGTCATCCAACTATGGCGGCAGTTTGTTTCTAACTCTCTAACTCTAAAACCGGACAACCGCAGTCTCTTAACTTTCAAAACCATTTAAAATTGGCCCTCGCGTCCGTTCCACCATGGTTTCGGTCCAGTCAACCCGCGGCGACCGCGGTTTCGGCCCAGTCCTTGTCCCTTCGCAAGTGCCGCGCGGTCAACGAGCGAGAGCAGAGAGAGAGAGAGAGCGCAGGGCCGATTTGGACACGCGGCCGCACTTGCCGTCCACCCTTCCCATGAGGGCCCTCGACACGGCCTCATCTCCCGGACGAACTTCGCCACACACCCACCGCTCACTTTGCTCTCTCCGCGCGCAGATCCGATGCGGATGGCGCCGGGTCGCCACACCGTCATTGGAGGTGTCGCCCACGGAGGGACCGCTGGTGCCGCGCACACGGTTGGCCACGCGCCGCATCGTCGCGCCCGCCTCGTTGCGTGTTGGGGCCGGACGAGCGCGTAAGAGGTCGCGACTGGAGAGGCCGCCATGGCCGGCCAAGGCGTGACCCGGAGAGGCAGCCATGGCCTGCCGTGCCCCCACGTCGAGCCCCACGCGCCGTAGCTACGATAGGACGACCGCTCTCCTGAGCTCCGACGAGACGCCGTCGCTGCGTTGGCCACCACCGTGAGCGCGCCCCGGCCTCCTTCCTCGCACGCTGCCGCGAACGAGAGCGAAGGGAAGGACGAGCGCGCGAGCCGAAAGCAGCATGCGCCACGTAGAGCCCAGTGCCCCTCGCCATCATCGGGCATGCGCCGCGACGCGCGTGCATGACGCCATGGACCCAGCCTCCTCTGCTTCACCGGTCGTCTTCGTTGGTGCGCTGGACGGTGATGGATGACGGCCCCCCTCCTGGGCCCGCGAGGTGCCCGAGCTCTGGCTGCCCAGATCCAAATGGCCTGACGCAGCCAAAGATAAGCGCGGCCGCCGCAACCGTAGCTTGACCGGGCGAGAAAGACGAGGCAGAAGGCAGAGGCGTCTGGCGCGGCAGGCGAGGCTGCTGAGGAAAGAAGATGTGCTCGTCGGCGATGAGCAGCGCCGAGGACTGGTTCTGGGCGGCGACGGCTGCGACGACGAGTGCTCCAATCGACGCCGAGCAGCAGCAGCTCGCAGCGGCCCAAGGCGGCGTCCGTCTCGGCGCGGCAGGCGACGTCAACTACGAGCGGGCACGGTGTTCCTGCGGCCTCGTCGCGTAGGGCTTTGTGGCCTGTGCGGCTCGGCAAAGCAGAGCGGAGGTCGGTGGCGGCCGCCGACGAGCCGAGGCAGAGCTCTGCTGCGGGGCTGGCCACGGCAGCAGACTGAGGGCGGCGGCGGCTGCCCGAGGTGGAGGCCAAGAGAGGCGGCCGGACCTCCATGGCGTCGAGGCGGGTCGGCGCGGGGAGACGCGCGAGCTAGGCGTGGAGCTGTCGCGGCTGGACCTCCACGGCGTCGAGTGGCCGTGCACGGGGAGCCAGGCGTCGAGCGGCCGCAGTCGGAGCTCCATGGCGTCGAGCAGCTGTGCGGGGAGGGCGGGCGTCGAGGCCGCGACTGGACCTCCAGCGGCAGCTCGAACTCAACACTGCTTGCGGCGTCGGCGTAGTAGGAGCTCGCAGCCGCGGATGAGGAGCTGCTGCGCGGGGAGCTTGTCGTCGGTAGCCGGGAGGTGAGCGCACGGGATGTGCCCTTGCGGAACTTGAGGCACGCCATCTCGGGGTTTCCCAGGGCCGTGCGGATGAGGCGGCGGCCGACGTCGCCGTGCGGGACGACGCCCGGCCAGGCCCTGCGCCAGATCCGCACCTCCCTTGCACGGAAACAGCGGCCAAGGAGAGCCATGCACGCTTCAAGCCCCGCCCCGCCTATGCCCGGTTCCGCCGCACACAGCGCGCAGCCTTGCCACCAGCCCTTACCCGCTCTGGCTACTGGAGGAGAGAGAGAGGAAGAAGAGCGAGGGAGGCGTGGGGCTCTCTCTCTATCTCTGCCCCCTCCGCTCCGCCCTGCTGTCTCTCTCTCTCTCTCTCCTTCCCTCTCTGCTCTCGCTCATTGACCGCGTGACAGTCGCGAAGGGACGAGGACTGGGCCAAAACCGCGGTCGCCGCGGGTTGACTGGGCTGAAACCACGGTGGAACGGACGCGAGGGCCAATTTTAAACGGTTTTGAGAGTTAAGGGACTGCGGTTGTCTGGTTTTGGAGTTTGAGGGCTAGAAACAAACTGTAGGCATAGTTGGAGGGCCAAAAATGGACTTTTTCCTAAAGTATATTAGACAATGAAATAAACTATTTATTAGCCAGACTTAAATAACTTAGGTAATCAAACAACTAGCAATTGGTTTACTGGGGACAGGCTAAAGCTGTCTAGGCTAAAATTCTAGGCCTGGTTCGTTTATCTTGTAATCCATCTTTTTCAACTTGTTTTTTAGTCGGAACAGCGTTTTTCTCTCACAACAAATTAGCTAGAACAGTGTTTTGGTTTATTTTTTCAGCGAAGCGAACGAGCCCTTGCCAGGAAACCAAACACATACTCCCTACCTTTTGGCGCAGTAACAGTAAACCACCCGCACGATTCGAAAAAAAGAATGAAGTAACCCGCTGACCACTGCACATACATCGTCACCTATGGGGCTGTAGAAGTACTCGTCTCGTCCCAAAATAAGTCTTCATGTCATAATTTGAGTCAACAATCATAACTTTAACTAAATACATCTAAAAAATAATAATATTTGTGATACTAGATAAACATCATTATTAACTACGTACGTTGTATTACGGTCCGCAATGCAGCCGTTGCACCTAGGCGAAGGGGACGGCCACGGCCGCAACCTTCACGATCACCGCACGTAGCCGCGACATGTAGCATCGGCTCTTGCAATTAGTCTCGGTCCCTCATAGTCATCGTTTGTAGTTCACGATCATCGCCTCATACCATCATCGTGTCATTTAGAACTCATAATAGGCATGTTCGCTGGTCGGTGCTTGTGCTAATTTGGATTGGTTGATGCTGGTTTTTTTAGAGAAAAACATTATTGGCTAGCTGGTTTGGACTGGTTGAAATCAACAAGCGAACGGGCCGAATACTAGACCGCTGTTTTGGTACTCCTACGTGTCATTTGTCAATAGTGAGGCGAACTGGGCAGGTCGAGTGGGAAATGTGGCCCGTGTTGACATTCATGGGCCTACTGAAGATAGCTAAAAGGTTCTGAACTCTACAGTAGATAGAATTTTCCTTTCGTTAAGGTTGTTTTAATTCAAGAAACGATGTGATTTCATTCTCTTTTCACTTTTTTTGTTTGGTTTACAAAATAAAAGATGATTCATCATCTCCTTATTTCTTATATAAATTAATAATTAATATATAAATAAGAAATGGCTTGATTCTACTAAAATTCATAAGATGAACCACTTTATGTAGCAAGAGATGTTTCTCAAACCAAACAAGCCTTTAAATTTCCACACGGGGACAAGGCCACAAGTCATCTGAATTCCAATTGCTGTAAATCCCTGATCATATATATTGATATTACTAATATTCAAAATGTAATCAAATCCACGATATGTATACGCGTAGGGATCCCACTTACATCTGGGCCCCGGATCCGAGGTACCTCGAGATCTCCTCTGCACCCACTCGTCAGTCAGGCTATAAAATGCTTCACCCCTGAGAGCAGTTCTCTTCATCATCCCTCCATAAAAAGCTGCAGATATTTTTCTCCGCCTGCTCGCTTACCTTTCCAAGTCGCCCGAAAAGACGAGACTACCCCACTCCCCCGAAAGTCAGAGGGCCGGCGAGCCAGACCACCACAACCAGTGAATCAGGCACGCAGCGATGGCGGTGGCGGAGCTGTGGGAGACGCTGAAGCAGGCGATCGTCGCGTACACGGGGCTGTCGCCGGCGGCCTTCTTCACGGCTGTCGCGGTGGCGGCCGCGCTGTACCACGTCGTGTCGGGGCTCTTCGCGGCCCCGCCCCCGCCGCCGCCGCGCCCGCGGGAGGAGCCCGAGGCGGAGCCGCTCCCGCCCCCCGTGCAGATGGGGGAGGTCTCCGAGGAGGAGCTCCGCCAGTACGACGGCTCCGACCCTAAGAAGCCGCTCCTCATGGCCATCAAGGGCCAGATCTACGACGTCACCCAGAGCAGGTCTGTTCTTTGCGCCAAAACCATAACTTACCCCCTGTTTTCATGGATCGATCGCTGTTCTAGTGATTAGATTTTGTTGCGGTGGCCCGATTCTGCCGTAGTCGAGTCAGTATTCATCATATAATCTATTATTATGCCCTATATATGCGTAGAAGTATCGCTCCTACTTGCTATTGCTGTATGATTGTTGATGAAGTTGCATAATTGGCCGGCTTTGCTGTACTATTTGGATGACCTGACTGAGTACGGCTTGCTGATTTTTTAGCACATACAGATTGCGTTATCGGTTCAATGATAGTTAGCTTTTTCAGATGTAACTATAGATTTGTTTTTTCTGATGATTGGAGTAATCCAAGTGATAAATTTGCTCGAAATTTCTGAGGTTTTAATGCCTTGTCTATTTGAGCTTTTTGATATTGTCGTCTGTCTTCCCGGATTATGGGAGTAATCTTGGTTATAAATCGGCTGGAATTTCTCGTTTAATGTCTTGGCGCATTCGGGGCCTCAGTTGCCTGGGTGGCATCAAGATATGGAAAGCATCGATTGATTGCTTTGTTGTTTGTTATGGGGACATGTCCGCTATGGTTAGCAATATGAGCTGCCACTATGGTTAGCTAGGGGATGATTTTTTTCTGCATTGGGTGAAAATTTAAGGTGTGAATCTCGGGCAGCAGGTCCACAACAAACTTTTGGGGCCTTGATATCAATTCCCTAATGTTTGTTGGGATCGCTTTCACTGAATTTTTCTTTGTTGTTTGGTATACCTAATCAATTTCTATTTGATTAGAATCTTTTTAGCACCAGTTGACTGTATGCCATCTGAGATGATGGCTGTAGAGTTGATAATGGAGAGTATATATGCTGATGATTGCCTGATTTGATATAGAGATTCAATGCTCATATAATAAGTTAACGTACCAATTTTTTACCTGTTGTGCTTGGATAAGTATTCCTTTCATCTGTGCAGCTGGGATTCCCAGATTTGCCAGTGAAAAGATGTGGTAAATATAGATAGGCGCTTCCTAAACAAAAAAAAAGTTTGTGATATTTTTGCTAGTAAAGCGTTCTGATTCAATGGGAGATGAGGGCTACTTTTGGATATGTTTTTTATTTGGCACTGGTTGCCCGGGAGAATTAGTGAAAGCTGTTTTAATGGTTCTTTTCTTTTCTGTTGCTTTATTCTTTTTTTAGAAGTTTTGTGGTTTGATCTGGCAATGGAATACTATATGTGATATCTCTTAGCTAGCCCTTGGTATGCAAGATGCAGTTGCAGCTGTACCCATATTTTGTGGTGGATGATGTGTTTTAAAACCTCTTAGATCTGTTATATTATTATATGCACATCTATCTTTGATTGTGCTTGTACTTTCACAATCACAATCATTCCACATTGCACGGCTGACCATGCGAAACACATGGTCACTTTTATATTATGCATGCTTATGCTTATTTTATTCAAGAATAGTTGTGCTCATATGGTCAGTTGTGAATTCATTTCAGTGACTTACATGTTAGAAATTTGTTGTGAAGCTCTCTTACGGTTCAAATCCCCCCCTCCTTTCCCCTTCTTACTTTACATATTGAGTTCTGTATTTATAATGTTTATTAATGACCCTATGCAGAATGTTCTATGGACCTGGCGGACCTTATGCCCTATTCGCTGGTAAAGATGCCAGCAGAGCCCTAGCAAAGATGTCCTTTGAGCCGCAGGATCTTACTGGCGACATCTCTGGCCTAGGTCCATTTGAGCTTGACGCCCTGCAGGATTGGGAATACAAGTTCATGAGCAAGTATGTGAAGGTTGGTACTGTCAAGAAGACTGTCCCTGTTGAAGAAGGCAGCACCGCAAGCACGGCCCCTGAAACCAGTGAGGCCACCACTGAGGCTGAGAAGGCACCGGCAACAGAAGAGAAGCCAAGGGAGGTATCTTCGGAGGCGGTTAAGGAGAAGGAAGCCCCAGCTGATGAAGGTGCCCAGGAAAACTAGAGCTTCTCAGAGCCTCCTGTGTATGCAGCAATAATTCGACATGGTCCCATTCGGTTCGTGTTAGGGCCCTGCTATCCTCTCGTATCAGCAGCATGGCCTGTGTAATTGGATATGTCATCTGTACCAGCGCCATTGCCCTTGAGGTGCTGGTGCTTTATATATTGTTATATAGTCGTTGTTGCAGATTTTAAGACCAGGTTGTGCGCCTTACTCTGTTTGATCAGATAATCGGTGCTACTATAAAATGAGTTATTTTATTTGTATCCTATAAGATTATCCCACGTCAGAAATTCCTCAGTTACTCATCTCACCCATTTGGTAGGAACGCAATCAATATGGGTTATCGGTTGGTTAAACTAATTATTAATTAGTCCTTACGTTGCAAGCACTGTAGCTATGCTACTCCCGCTTAGACAGTCTCTAACGGGCCGAACCCAAATATGGGACGCATTCCTTAGTATAGGTCACGTTTCAAACAACGGACACAAAAGTCCAACGCAGAAGGCCGAGCGCCGCCAGCTCCTCGCTGCGCCGGCAGCTCCCCGCCGCGGTCCCGCCTGGCCGCGCTCCGCCGCGGGCCCGCCTGGCCGTCGTCCGAGGAGGATCTTGAGGAAGAAGGGAGTGGCTGCCGACGTAGAGGAAAAAGAGGAGCGGGGTCTAGGGCAGCCGTCGCCGTGCGAGCTAGCTTCACAGCGCGAGCTCTGGATCCGGCGCCACTGTGCGGGCGAGCTCCGGCCCTGGCGTCACTGTGCACGAGGTCTCTGATTTTGATTTTCGCGGTTTTGTGTTCGTCGTTGTTCTCCCGTTCTTGCCCCAAATCAAGCAGCCCCGGAGTTTGAATCAATTTCAGGCAATGATTTCTTGGGGATAGATTCGTTGCAAGTTGAATTGCATCTCTGCAAAATTTGGGAGCACTTCCTTTTGATTTGGTCGGTTTTCCTTTGAATTTCGTGGTCACTTTCTCTTCTGTACGTAGCTCTGTTCTTCGTTGATTGAGGTGCAGGCACATGGGATTCTTACAGGAGCGTTACCAGAGCCGGTGCACAGGTGCCGTGCTTGCTTCCTAGAAGCAGCGTTCGTCCCTCTCCTTGCTGCCCGTCAGCGCTTGTGCTCAGTTCTTCTCTGTCCGCTCGTTCTTCCTTTTTCCCTCGGTTCGTTTAGCGTCGGGCTCAGTCAGAGCGTTCGAGCACGTGCGCCTGCAGGTTCCAGCGGCCGTGCGGTGTCCGGTCCAGGACCAGGTGGCCATCCACTAGTCCTGCTTCATCGGCCTCCACCGACCTCCATCGGCCCCGCCCCTGTGCCGGGGCACGGCGTCGGTCGCTCCTCCCTCTCCCTCTGCAGTGTTTTGCGTCGTCGAGAATGACGACCTTTTTTTTTTGCCTTCCAACTCGGTTGCAACACAAAATGGCTGACTTCTTTGCGTCTTCCGTTGGAGCGTGATTTTAGAACACAAAACAATGTGCACGATGTATTTTGCGTTTGGGTCGCCCTTTGCCTGGCCTGTTGGTGACGGTCTTAGACCATTGGGCTATGCCCGCTGGAACGAGATCAACCTTATAAGCAAGGTTCTAGTACCACTTGTAAGAATACAAGGCATATCTAGCTATCATCCTATGCATGCTAGTTTTTCATTTCATCAATCAATTAACTAGCATACACCACACAAGCATGGATATCAAATTTAAAACCTGTGCTATGCTTTCAGTGGTAGGCGGCGTCTTCGTCGACAACGAGCTGCCTGTGATGACTTCGTGAATCTCAAGAACTACTAAAACTCAGTCCTTCGGAGGTGCTCGTAGGGTAAGGTTTGTTTACTTGTGTTCATAAGGGTGAGTGTGCGTGCGTGTTATGAGCGTCTACGTTGTACCGTATAATTAAAAAAAACAATTTTTGCCATACAAGCAAACATACGTAAATATACATTTAAATGCATCAAACAGTTCATAAGCTTGCTCCTCTGCTTACTTTAAGCGGGCTATAGTCCGGCCATTCGGCCGGAAGCATCGCGACAGGGAAATTTTCGTGGCTGGAAACGTCCAGCTCGCTTCGTTTTCACGCGTGCCGGCCGAGGCTTGCTAACACCCGCACGTAAAATACTTTCTAAAGTAAAAAAAGGTTATATCTGCTAAACTAAGTATCAAAATTAAAATTCGATTGACCATCGTATTTCTTGCAATAAACTTTTCGAAACAGATCTCACATGGACATATTTAGATAAAATTTTATTTACAAACATTTATCTCATGAAAATAGAACAATTCTTTTTATTAAGTACAGTGATGTTCTAGGTCTATGTTAAAATGTACCGTCATCATAAAACAAATGTTCTAAGTTAAGAAAAATAATATTACAGATTTAGGATAAAAACAATATATGTTCATGTGAATGGTATTATAATATATGTGGAAATAGAAGAATAATAAATGAGAAAATCTATGAAATATATAGAAATATAAATAAAATGACATATAAAAAAGAGAAGAAATTAATAAAAGATAAAACAAGGCATAAAGGAAAATAAAAATAATAGAAAGGAAAAAGTCCACGTAAAAATAGGAGAAATAAAGAGCACAACAAGCCAATACTACTTGAACAACCTAAAATATACCACAAAATATCTCATTTGTATTATGTGAATATTTTCTCACCACTAGACAATGTATATGATTTGTCTCAATTATGAAATATTTATATTATTATAAACTATTTGAGAACATCATAAAACATCAAAAAAAACATCCTAGAACATCATATGTGTATCACATGGACATCAGAAAATACTACATAAATACCACAAAAATACATCGTAGAACATTACATATATAGTACATGAACATCACAAAATATAACACGAAACATCACAAATATACTATGTGAACATAAAAAAAAATCATAGAACTTCATACGTATATTACGTAAACATCACAAAATACATCATAGAACATCACATATATACATCATCTCCTCCTCAAAGCAGCCATGGCAAAAATTCTTCGAGGGGCTCTAGGGGGGCTCCATGAAATCAGCGGCGGTATTGGGGCTTGAGTCCCCCGCCCCACTGCTACTTGTCCCTGGCTCGGTAAGAAAAAGCGTGTTCAACAAACATAAAACAAAACAAAAGGAGAGCATCAAATGATGGAGCATTTGTAACCGTCTATGGTTCATTTTGTTGAGGTCAAAAAATCATGTTATATTTAATTTACTGGTCAAGGCAACTTGGTTTGGTCGATTAGTAGTCATGCAATATAAACTACCGCTATGCAGCCTGTTCGTTTGGTCGTATTTGGCTTATAAGCCATGACTTATCAGCCAACGAACAATATTTTTCTCTCACACCAAATCAGCCAACAGTACTTTCAGCCATGGTTTATAAGCCAAACCAGCCCAAACGAACAGACTAATGGTGTGCAATATGAGCTGCCACTATGATTAGCTATGGGATGATTTTTTTTTCAATGGGTGAAAATTTAATGTGTGAATCCCAGGCAGCAGGTCCACAACAAACTTTTGGAGCCTTCGTATCAATTCCCTAATGTTTGTTGCGGTCGCTTTCACTGAATTTTTCTTTGTTCTTTTGTATATCTACTCAATTTTCTATTTGATTAGAATCTTTTTAGCACGAGTCGACTGTATGCCATCTGAGAAGATGACTGTAGAGTTGATAATGGAGAATATATTTGCTGATGATTACCTGTCGTCTTTGCCGTGCCTGCCCATCCCACCCTCGCTTTCCTTGCCCATTGCCATAGCCAACGGCGCCCTCGCTGCCATCCACCGTCCACCCCCACCTTCCACTAGTCTCAATCAAGAGAGGAAGAATGGTCGGTCACCCACACCATGAGCTCTCCCAAGCTGGTTTTCTTCCACTGATCGCTCAACAGTGCCCCACCACCACCACCGGTCCTGCCACCGCTCGAGGCCCCCGCCCCCTTCTAAGGGCGTCGGCAATGAAGGTCCCCTAAGAATCTCAAATCCCTTACTCGGAACCCTAACCGCCATCACCCACCCCTCCCTCCCTAATTTCAGCGGCGTCGACCGGTCACACGCTCCAAGCGCAGCGCGACCAGTCGCTAATTTAATAGACCCTTAATATTTTACAACATTTATAAACACAATTATATGGGAGACCAACATTTTCCAAGTTGCCTATAGCCTACCAACTATATTCCTGACATATCTTCAATAGTACGGTCCCTCCGATACCCATATGGTTCACATCCTCAGGTTGTCTTGATACCTTCGAGAGCTCTCTGCCTTCTCACATTATAGGAGCCGCTTTTCATCTTTGTACTATCTAGATTTTCTTTTGGCAACCTTTGAGGGCCCTGCAACTACATAAAAAGAAAACACCTTCGCCGCTTCATTGAGGTGATGGAAAGGAACATCAGGCGAAGGGGAATTATTCATTGTCTAATACTGACTGAATTTGGCTTATAGTGTATGTAGTTTTGAGCCTGCTTTGAGGATAGTGTAATATTGATCATTAAATAGGAATGAGTTGCAATGCATAAGTCTAGATATATGCTAATGTAGAAACCAAACATCCAAGCCCAATGTATGACATGTAGATACAGGTTCCTTGCAAGGTGTCACACACGTGGGGATATGCCATAAAAGTTTTGTGAAAGTGATATATTCTGAAATGTGATTCTTGTCAGCGTGCCAGGCACTGAGTCAAAACCATGTGTTCTAAGGGTTTGAATGGCATGGGAAAGTCGATGTTGTCTTGTGGAGCTTTGTCAATTCATCGTACAGTCATACAAGGGTTCCTACTTCAGTATTCCACTAGCTATATTCTTGAAGAGGTTAGCTCTTGTGAGTTTCTGCTATATGTATAGAACTTTAGATATCTGCTTTTTTCACTGCGTATCCGAAGAGTTCTTGGCAGTACTGCAGAGAGAGACTCATCCCAAGACCCAAGTTGCCAAGTTGGTGTTCCTTTGGTGACTTTGCTTGAAGACTGCTGCCCGCCGCGCCTGGCGCACCCCTAACTGATTCCAAATGAAAAGTTGTTTAACTGGCACAAAGAGTGTGAACGAGAATTAGGAGTAATTAATTAAGGGTGAAGGAGACAGTCTCCACTGGCTTCAGCAGGTGTTAATGGCTTCTTGCTCCTCCGTCCTCGCCGCACCATCGCTCTCCGCCTCGGCGCCGTCTAGCCGGCGGCGCGCGAGTACGGTTGTATGTATCCAGGGTGGTCGCCACGGCAGGGTCGCGTCCTGCGGCGTGCGGTGTAGCGCCGGCGGCCAGGGCGGGGTCAAGGTCCCGGCGAAGCGTAAGCTCCCGCTCGCACTGAATCTCTAATCTCGCTCTCGTGTAGGCTTCGCATGGAAATCTGACCGGTTTTATTGGTGGATGCCGCAGTGTCGGAGCTGTGGGCGGCGGCGAACGGCGCGCCTCCTCTGGCCGTGCTCGCGGGTGTGGCGGCGGCGGCGGCAGCCATCTACAAGGTTGGGTCCAGTCTCCTTGCGCCGTGCCATCCCGCGCCTCGTCGGCTGGAGACCCAGACGGCCCCGCCGCCTCCAGTCCCGGAGCCGGTGCAGGTGGGTGAGATAACGGAGGAGGAGCTGCTGCAGTACGACGGGTCCGACCCCGAGAAGCCGCTGCTGATGGCCATCAAGGGGCAGATCTATGACGTCTCTCAGAGCAGGTTGCTTCCTTTGAATCCTTGATTGCTTCAGCTCTAACCTCTAATTATTCATCCATTTCGTCGCAACTCGCAACGCTGCTATGCTTTGTTGTAGCAGTCACTCACTCACTCGTGGTCAATTAGTAGTTTATTCTCTTCACTTGTACAACTGATGCTTTCCAAAACAAGGCGCTTTAAAATGATGAAACATTGTTCATTTGTTCGTAATTTGAGGAGTTCTTCTGTGCCACTAATGCAAATGAACTGTTCTGAATGTGGGATGTCAAAGAACTGAAGGTTGTGACCAACCAGGTGGGTAGAGACTCGAGACTGACTAGTGGAAATATCTTTGTTTTGGAGGGTGACTGAATTTTGGGTATACTTGTCTGGCAGTCAAAAGTGCCCAACTGTCTTTGTGATGGAGCTTCTTATGCTCGGCCTGTAGGTTCAGTTATTGAGTGTCTAACATGGTATTTAGTCATTGAACTAATTCACATAGTGTCTGTCTGCCTATCCTCACCAACACACATATAGTACTAACACTCCTTTATAACCATGTCCTTATTTTGTTTTCTCTACAATCTGAGGTTGCTGATTTCTCCTCATTAACCATTGACCCCATGAGAAAAAAGAAGTGTGAAAGATTTGTGCAATAATTATGAAATGTAGGAATCTCCAAGAAAATTCCTGCATATTGTGCTTAATTTCTTCTGTACATGTGCTCACAAGTCACAACTGTCGATCCTAAATCTTTATTTTGTGTGTGAACGAATTTAGTTGTGCTGTGAACTATAAGTTGTAGTGATAAATATATCAGTTTAAATTTTGTTGACGCCTAATTGAATCCCTATTTGGATGGAATCATGACTTTCATGTGGTGCTACCGGAAGCTTTTGGAGAGCGACAATTCCATTTAAACATATCTGCATTGGATTCTCATTTGGCTTATTGGAGCATGATGCATAAATTGCTTTCAAACCATCGCTTGTTTCCTTTGATGAAAGTAACTAGATAATGTACCACTTGCAGTTCAAATACCATAGCCCCGTCAAAATATTTGTCCTGATAATGTCACTGCCAATTTACCAAACCATGCATAGCATATTGTGATCAATACTTATGGCATGATATTCTTTTTCCTTTTTCTAACCGATCTTCGCTGTGCAGGATGTTCTATGGACCTGGCGGAGCATATGCGTTATTTGCTGGTAAAGATGCCAGTAGGGCATTGGCCAAAATGTCCTTTGAACCACAGGATCTGAACGGTGATATATCTGGCCTAACGCCAATGGAGCTTGGTTCCTTGAATGACTGGGAGTACAAGTTCACCAGCAAGTATGTGAAGGTAGGAACCATAAGAAGAGCAGCGCCTGCTGAAGAGGTTTATGGCAGCATTTCGCCTGAAATAAGGGAAGAAGTTACTGTGCCTGTGGTTGAGGCTGAGCGTGAGCCTGAGCCCAAGCCGCATGATGACGATACACCATGAATAGGAAACACTCAGACATCTCATCAGTTCTGATAGAAGAACAAAATGGAGGTGGGGAACTGCTGATGATGTACCAAAGGTAGTCAGAACTTGGGAAGTAACGGAATGCCTCGTACCTGTTGCGTGGATGTTTGCAAGGATACTGTCTAAATTTACACCAATAGTAGATGTGTACTCTGAAGTAGGATTGAATGGTTGGATATGTACAGGTCATTTCCATGTTGAGATGAATTATTTCGTCATATATGTGCAGCTCTCGCCTCTGGGGCAGTAAGGCTCACTTCTGCTTCGTCAAAACGTGTTGCTATTTTTGCTCCTCCGCTTATGCCAGTCTCTGATGTATAATTTTCCCTCCTCAATGGACGAGAAGCGTCAAACTATAGATAGGAGTTGTGTTGCCTCGTGTTTCTTTGATCTGTCAGCTGTCGCCTACCTGATTCAACAATGGTATGCAATTCGACTGTACGGAGCTAATCACCATTGCACTATTTCCACCAAACGTGTCACGGCGTGATCCTTTTACTCTGTAAATGCGCAAGGACACATCTGCAAACTAAGATACATTGGCAGGCACCTTGTGTTTTGAAATATATAGGAGTGGTGTACCACGTACTGCAGTTGCTTCCTAACCGGCCTGTAGCATGAATCTTGCATACCATTCTCTGCCCGTTTGATCACCGAATTGGGTATAGCAATTGTACTTGTTCCCCTAAAGTTTATGTAATGGCAAGACATTGCAGGCAATATTTTATTTTTACGAATCTGACCTCTATAAAGTTCTACATCGTCAACAAATAAATCTATGGCTCCTTGCAAGGCACAAGGATTTCTGCTTACCTAGAACCTGGAGCTGATGAACTATGCAATTTGGGATTTCTCTGTAAGGATTTTTGCCTGCCAGATTACGAAGCACTTCTTCGGGCTCAATACGAATTGAGTTTTACAGAACAGGTACGCATTTGAGTTTCGTCCATTTGTAGGCAGCCTTGACACGTTCAGATGTCATCAACAGTTCTTCCAGCTAAATGCTCTTCCTTTATTCTCAGAGATGCTGCCACTTTGACTTCTCACGCAACACTGGTGAAAATTCTTTAGAAAGCCCACACCACACATCGACACAAAATAACAGGAAAGGCCCACTCTCTCCAGCCTCAACAACAAGCTTTGCCATCTGCCTGACACAGTGACACTTGTGTTGTTTAGTCCCACATCACCTGCTCACATGGGACGACACCAGCTTAAATAGCCAGTCCCCAGCGCTTTACTCGCCGAGCAGCTAGCGACTGCTTGTAACCCGAGTGGGGGCAATAAAGTGGTGCGGATGCCAATTGTGGCGCGTGGACCTGGGCCTGTTGTTGCACTCTGCGGCCCGCCCGTTCCAAGTTGTGTAGTGGGCCGCGGGAGCTTTGGCGAAGGCCTCGGCTTCCCGGTACCTAGAGCGGCGGGCATTGCGTTAGGCTGGCCTCACAGAGCAGCGAATACCGCCCGCTGCCAACGGTGGAAGGATAACGGGCCGCTGCGCTCCAGGTCCGATTAGGCCCTTGCGTCCTGTCTGGCAGACCACCATTTTTTTGCTTTCCTAGCCTTTTTCGCTGGCAGCCGCCTGTTCTTCTCTGTACTTTTGTTCCAGTCAGACCAGCCAGGCATGATTTGCTAAAAAAAAAAACTGCCAGGCATGTCTTGGAACTCAGATATACAACTCCGTCCAACTGAATCTCATTTTTTTTGTGCTAAAAAAAACTAATGATCTTTTTTTCTGTACCACTTTCTGTCAACTCAAGGACAGGTACACACAACACCAATAATATGATCCAGGACTCCATGAAGGATGGAATCGAAGAAAATTACAAGAGCAAAAAGTCTCAGTCCACACCTCCACAGAGAATGCTTATTTCTTTGGCATCGTCTCTTCTCTGACTTGGAATGATCGCATCGTATGCAGCAAGTTTGCACAACATTCCATATTGAACAAACGAAGCGTGTCGGCAGCGAGATACAAGAAGCATATACTGGATTTTATTCAACATGATACAGTTCAGTTTTCTCTTTGACGCTGCTGCAACTGCAATGCTTGCCTTAAAAGGAAACTGCACCGGAGTAGTTCACTGACATGCCGAATCCCCAAAGAAATCCCACGATCTGCCGAAAATAGGAGCGTTTACATAGTTGGATTCAGCTTTCAGCCTGCTCATTTCCGATTGCTGCAGCTGAAAAAATCTGCAACGAGCGAATTATGCGATTATGCAGTCCATTTCCGATTGTTCATCATGCTCATGCAGTGGATTACTGGAGTAGTTGGATCGTTATATAGTTTCTAGGCTCTCAATATGCGATTATGCAGGCTCTGACCGAAACCTCTACTGAAGTGTACTAGTGTGGCAGCCGGCATAACCCGGCCAAACAAAATTTTATCTTTGCTGAACCTTTCTCTTCTCTTTGAACGAACCGCACCTGACGCAAACATGGATCGAAAATGAACAGTGAGACAAAAGAAATTAAGACTACGTTCGGCTGGCTGATGATGTTGATGCTGATTTGTTGTAAGAGAAAAACATTGTTATTTCGCTGAAACGGTACGGCTGATAAGTTCAAGCGAATAGGTCCTAACTCGGGTGGGGTAATGTAAATGCTCCAAAACGTTTGGGTTGAATGGAAAATGATGCGGCGGATCAAATGGTTCGTGAAAGAAAAGCAAATATCATGTGAAATTGTCAACGCAACCATAAAAAAAAGGTTAGCATGGCACTATTGCTCTTCTAAACATGATGGCTCAAGTACAAACAATCGGGCGAAATAGAGTCTAATAATTGATAACCAAAAGTCCAATTTCCTTTTTCTAAAAAAGTCCAAAATATAATGATCATACATTTCTCCATTGCATTTTATCCACAGCTACAAAGATAAATCAAGAAAGAAGTGTCAACATGCTTACTACTTATATAAAACAAGGTAATATTAAGAATTAAAAATGGAATGACATAATGCATAGAAAAAGTAACTCGAACAATTCGAACTAACATTCTGTTACATCTTTGCATCGACGGTGTTAACTATAACAAAAATACCCCTGATCCATTTCAGCACACTTGCAGCATCCATGGCATGCGGCATACGACATATGTCCCATAATAAAAAGGGATTATGCCTTTTGTTTTTAACTAATCTATTCTAAGTTTAACCAAGTTTATGGAGGAAAGTCCTAACAAAATGAAATGGCTGCATAGCAACAAAACATCCTGTAGGTGTGAGGTGTCAAAGAACCCTAATTTTTTACTATTTGACTCTTTTTTTTAAAGAAAATTTACATTTGGCATCTGGGTGACTTAAACTCATCTTTAGATCCTGGGGTCGGCGCCATGAGTCCTGGCGCTGAGGTAACACATCTCAGCGTCACAGATTTTAACGTCGAGGTGCCTGATGGTGCATAGCAAAGAATTCTAGATGGCGTTGACGTGATCGCTACGTCGAAAATATGTTGCCGGCATTCAAAACGTACAGTGGGTAGCAGGACTGGGCGCTATCTCTCGGTCCGTGCGCCCGGACTGACTTTAGCCGGAAGCGAGGTGCGGTGGTGTGCATGCACCATGCCATGCAGCAGTTCGACCGGAATGCGGGATGCATGCAATGGACAGCAAGGTGCCGTGGCGGTCGTCGTCGTCAGAGCCTACGCCTGATGGAGCCTCACTGACTGACTGATTGACAGGGAGGGAGAGAGACAGGCAGATCATGCAGGCCATGCCCGATGCATGGTTGACGGCCGGAGTTGGTGGCCGGACACCGGACACGGACAGACAGACGCACGCGACGCGGCAATTCTTTTGACCTAGCTTGCAGCTAAGCTAGCTGCTAGCTGTTGGGGGTTCAACTTCATGCATCGAATGTGATTGTAAAAAAGACAACTGCCCTCCTGTACGTTGATTCCTGCCGCCATATTTTATTGCAAAAAAGTTATGAATTGGGCACGCAATGCTCTTCTTCTTCTTCGATTCTTCTTCTTCTTGCTTGGCTTGCATTGCAAAGAAGAGGGATGTCCATGTGCAGATGCATGATTATAATGTGATTGTGAACCAAACCAACAGTAGTGCTTCTTAATTAACAATGGATTTAGTATGCCCTTCCGCGTACACGTACATCCATCAGCTGCTACTAGTAGTATATACATATTCTAATCCATCCGTCGTCGGTTGGCTGGGCATAGTTAAATGATGATTGTTTACAGGTAACGTCTCCACGTTAGCTTGGTTCTCTGGTCGCTTCTAAAACTTATGTCACATCGAATATTTAGATACTAATAAGGAGCATTAAATATAGATTAATTATAAAACCAATTACATTGATGAAGACTAATTTGCGAGACGAATTTTTTAAGCTTAATTAATCCGTTATTAGCATATGTTTATTGTATCACCACGTTGTCAAATCATGGACTAATTAGGGTTAAAAGATTCATCTCGCAAATTAGTCGCACGTTGTGCAATTAGTTTTGTAATTAGTCTATATTTAATACTCTATGCATATATCTAAACATTTGATGTGACTAAAAATTTAGAAGCTCATGTAGAAACCAGCCAGGCCCGGTACTCGCTGTGTGTGTTCATGGCTTCCACACACTAAGAAATATATATTTAATACTCTATGTATGTGTCTAAACATTTAATATGACTGGAAATTTAGAAGCTCATGTAGAAACCAGCCAGGCCCTGCTGTGTGTGTTCATGGCTTCCACACACTAAGGAATAGGGATACAAAGAAAGCTTACTTGCAAATTAAACTATTCTAATTAAGCATTGATTGTTGATAGGATGGCATGTTGCTTCACATTGCCGTTTAGCAGCTGCTAGGCGTTTGCATTGGCACCGGCTTCCGTGCACAGCAGTGTGACTCTGAAACAGAGACGTTGGGGTTTGCGTTTTTTTTGGGGCCGCAAGATTCCTGGTCGATCGTAGAGTTGTTAGCCCTTGTTTAGGCCTCGTTTAGTTTCGAGAATTTTTGGCTTTTGG